GTGTGTGTGTTTACTGTGTGTGTTCACTCTTTATCTTTACTGTGTGTGTTTACTGTGTGTGTGTTGACCGTGTGTGTGTTTACTGTGTGTGTGTTGGCGGTGTGTGTTTCAGACTTGTTGCAGCTGTAAGAAGAAGGGGGCGTGTGTCGGCTGTTACGTCAGGAGCTGCAGGAAGTCGGTTCACTTCCCCTGTGGGAGGAAAAAGAAGTTCATCTCTCAGTTCACCGGCCTTTTCCCGTGAGTGTCGAGCACACGTACACACACCGTCATTCACTCGTATCAAGAGTCAGCCTCTGTCGTCGAGAAGGATCTTTTCATACAGACGGGTCTGAACTCCGAAGCTGGATTTGCACGTATCAGGTTAACTTCAGGTTTTATTCAGAGTTTTCAGTCGTACAAAGCTTGTTCCCTTGTTATCGAGATCAAACAGTATAAAGCTCCGCCCATTGCCCGCTCCTTTGAACCATGACATCATGGTCTTATCGTGGAGCTGCTGTGGATCGTTCCAGTCTGCTGGTGGGTCTCTGAAGACCCTGGTCCTCCTCAGAGACCCACCAGGTCCTTTGAGATCCTCTGAGGAGTTTCTGAAAGATCTAGATTCTCCTCAGAGGATGAACCTTCGTCAGCTGCTGGAGTCCAACAGAACCCACCTGACCCGTAGGAGCCTCGTAGTACAGGCCCCTGAGGGCCCTGTTCTACAGAGTTCAACAGATCCAGGATCTCTTTATCCAGCTGAAGTTAACCTGACGATCACAGTCAGGCTCGGTGGTCACATGACGCTGGTTATCAACTCGTTAAGTTAACTCAGGTTTTCCTCATCAGCATCAGAGCGGGTGCACATGAAAGAGGCGGGGTTTACTGCATATGACCAATCACAGACATGGACAGTTTGACTGACAGCAGAGCTGAGGACCAAACTGTACGATAATAAAAACATGATCAGAATAAAAGAAACAGCTGCTTAATGCAGAAGAACAGCTGGTAAACGACTGATTGTGTCAATGTGTAAGTTACAGCGCCCCCTGGTGACATTTGTAAAAAATATATTACGTGACCACGTGGTCAGTGGGCGGAGCTTTTACACTGCTTGATCTCTTTTCACCCACTTAACCTGGAGCAGGTGAGCTGTTCAGCATAAGTTACCATGGTGATTTAGGAATGGGAACTGAAAACCCTGAAGCTTTACCCCAAAACTGCAAATCCTGATTTCAGAGGATGTTGCACCTTGTTAAGATCTATGAGACAAATTAAGTCTGATGAATGTGAGAACGGAGACCTCAAGAGAAACCCAACAGTTCCCACAATGAGCAAGACAACTCGGGATTCCATGTTGAAGTCTGGTATAAAAATATGCAAAGACTCTCGCCCTCTGGAATGATGTCTTCAGAGATGCAATGTAAACGTTTCTCAGGAGGTCTTCACTCAGACGTGATGGACAGAGACGCTCCGAGGGAGTTTGAACCCCTGTGCTTTGTGTGTCTGTGTACAGGTCGTATTGTCAAGATCACAATCCCACTCAGTCTCTGTGTGTGAGCTCAGACCTCAGTCTGCCTCAGTCCTGCTCCGTCTGTTTGGACGCCATCGACCCCGTCCTGTCCTACTCCGTCCTCAAATGTCCGTGCTGCCACGCCAGCTGGTTCCACAGGGAGTGTGTACAGGTAGTGAACCGACCATTTATGGAACAGAGCTGCAGTTTAACTGCAGTTAGGTTTGTGTTCTTGTGTCACGTTGTAGCAGGATGTTATTGTTTATTAACTTCCTGTGTGTCGGTGTCAGCGTCAGGCCCACAGCGCTGGCCTCTTCTTCTTCAGATGTACTCTCTGTAACAACAAGGAGAGCTTCCAGGAGGAGATGCTCAGGATGGGAATCTACATCCCGGAGAGGTAACGTGATCATCGACACACATGACTTTCAGAAGGTCACAGCCACATGATATCTCATCTATAAATAGATCTCATCTATGAATAGATCTCATCTATAAAGTCTTTAAGTGGTTGATTACTGTAAAAGAAGGAAGTGTCGTCCATCTTGATTCAGAGTTTATGTACAGGACACCTTCACATTTTGTCCAGTCGAGCCCGTCTTCCTTCCACTTGACCCAGTTGAGCAGGTTCAATGTGGGATTGTGGGAAGAAGGAGCAGAAGCCAAGCGGAACAAACTGACGTCTGTTTCCTGATTCATTCTGTCTCTGCTTCCTGCAGAGATGCTTCATGGGAGTTGGAGGCCAACGCATATTCTGAGCTGCTGGAGGTTTACGACCACTGTGACGCTCTCACCTGCCTCTGCAATGACGGACCGACACACTCCGCAAAGACCGGGTACACACACACCAAGACCTCTGTCTCCAACACTGACATAAACGCACAGCAGACACATGAAGAAGAGAGAAGTGTAAAATGTTCTGCTCCTGTTTTTGGCTCCAGGTGGTTTGAGGTGATTCGCTGTCGACTGTGTGGATCCAGAGGCACGCACAGGAAATGTTCGGGGCTGAAGCTGCACACCAGCGACTGGGCCTGCAGCGACTGCACACAGGCTACTGATGGGAAAGGTCTCAGTTCATTTCTTTGATTGTCGGCAGGATTACGCAAAAACCACTTCATGAAACTTTGTGCAGACGAGCAGACGAGGAAGGGGACAGGTGGTCAGATCCAAGGTTTATTTCTTTAACAAAGTGAGATAAGACATTTTCCAATACTTTGTAGATTTCTCAGAGAATAATTCAAAGAAGAAACAAATGTGACATATTTAGAGGACTGATATTTTTAAACATCTGCTCCGTCTTCAAACTCATGTGAAGTCGAATTTTAGGAACAAGACTAAAAACATTAACCAGCAGGAGCTCCGCCTCCGATTCAGTGACACTGATCTGACGTGAGCCGACCGTGACTTTGAGAAGTTAAACACACCAGTACTTTATACCTGAGTACTTTATACCTGAGTACTTTATACCTGAATACTTTATACCTGAGTACTTTATACCTGAATACTTTATACCTGAGTACTTTATACCTGAGTACTTTATACCTGAGTACTTTATACCTGAGTACTTTATACCTGAATACTTTATACCTGAGTACTTTATACCTGAGTACTT